CCCCTAGTACATGGGACTCATAACATAAATAGTGAAAAGTGGGTGTTACTTCTGTGTGCATCTCTGCTTACTCCTTCGAGGATAAAAGGCGTAGATAATGTTATGTTATGTGTTCGATTATGAAAAAATCCACAACATTTTTTCATACAAAAGTAGTCTCTAAACATCGGAAATAAGGTCTATAATGGTGTAAGTGGAGAGCGGTTGTCGGTGACCGCTTGGATTTAGACCAGTAAATTGTTAGGTATCCTAATAACTATATTATAATTTTGAGACAGTGAAGTTGCTTACTTTAATATTTCATTGTCTAATGACGAATCTCAATAACTTATTTATCGATAGATGGGTTTACTTTTAAGGCGGGAAAGTGGCTGACTTCCCAAATGTCTTCTCCCGCCCGAGTGAGACGAGAGGGAGTATCAGACTCTTACTGACTAAAAATCACCCCGTTCCTACTCTTGCACTTCGAGCCAGAGCCCCGGTAACCTTTTACGTTATCCGCGGCTCTTTACGTTGTATGCGGCCCGTCTACAGATGCCTATTAAAAAGAACATTGTATCTAGAATAGGTAGCCAAAAAATATATAATTCTCACTCATATTGTATTGACCTTACGTCGGGATTCTAATTCTAATGGCCAATTTGACTGGTTACTGACAGTACCCAGGGTATTGAACCGTACAATTGAGGCATACCAAAATTAAACCTAATTTTATTCATCCGACAGTTCTCTATTAGCTGTCTAGGTTTTCTGGATCACTTGATATTCGTTATCAGAGCTGTTACTCTCGCTGACCCAAATCCTCATCTGGACTTCTATTTAATTTTTAAAAATATACTCTACACGATCAATGGTGCTATTTATCGATGTTTTATGATCGATAGGTTTTACCAGTACCAATTCAAACTGCTACTATTACCACGATTATTTAGCAGATTAAAGGCTTTAAGGATTACAATTACAGGAGTAAATAATTCCCACTCGAGGATAAAGTGCTGGAAAAAAATATTTAATTAATTAGAATTAATTCGATAAGTAGGTAATTATATTTATAATCGATATTAAGGTAAACCACAAAACGCTAATCCTTATTCAATGTATCAGTATCCTATCACGACTTTTATCCCCGAGGGGGTAGGCACACTTTTCACTATTTATGTTATAAGTCCCATGTAATATTGAGTATATATATCCCATGTATATGAGCCTATTGCCATATATCGGGCACAATTCCAGACTCCGTGCTACTATTGAGATTTAAAAAAAACCCAGTAATACTTTACCCGGCCCGGAAATAGAACCCGACACCCTTTACCTGGTAGTCGCACTTGCGACCACTCGGCCAACGAAGCAGTTTAGTCCTTATTCGTCATACATGTTTATCTTTATCCAGGGTCTGTAACAAGGAAAGCCCTTATTTACCAATTGACGGCAAAAATCAATTAAAGATTATGATAAGATCTCTATAAGATTATTCGTTACACCTAGTCCTTTACAATCTATCTATCTAGGTATATTGCCATAGTTCATAAGAACTATTGATAAACAAATAGGTACTTCACCTCTTTTAAATTTTTAATTCCTTAGTACCTATTTAGGTACACTATAGTCACCTAGATGACAATGCAAAAACAAATACGAGGAAAAATGAAACAAAACAAATGAAAAACAATAATATTAAAATAATAATTTCATTATTTATACGTACCTATATTGTATATAAAATATGTAACAATAATATATAAGTCTTTGTTATTTTATTTTAAAGACACGTAATGTTTACAGAGTAATGCCTAGTTCTCTGAAACACTAATAGGTAGGTATGTTGGCGCCTAGGTATATAGAAAATACCTGGAATTACATATAAAATCATTTTATTATGAAATGTAACAAACAAGATGATTGCTCCGTCAGCTTTGGTTTAATAGCCACAGATTTGCTAACCACAAGGTCTTGTGGAATCCAGAACAAATTTCCGTGCTTTTAGGCGGTTTTGCTATACCTATTATTGGAAGCAAGTATAACAGCTCACACATAGGACCCACTTAGTTTTTTGTCAATTTTCCGTGGTACTTGGCACCTGGGTTTCACCCAGTTGTACAGTCTCTTTTTGTAATTTTAAGCTTAATTTATTCTGTCTCCTGCAGTAAATCAACAAGGAAAGTGGAAACTATCGTTTTTCTTCTCCTCTTATAATATTTTCTGATTCACTTCGTTGCGGGAACGAAGACAGTTATTCATGTCCCTGGGACACGCCGGACTTCAGTGTTCCGGTGTTTTCATGGTTGTATCTACTGTAGATCCTGGCTTACAGGAGTTGCAGCGGTTTTGGAAGGCTGTGGCGGGTTTGTCTTATTAAAAAAACAAAAAGTTCTTTGGTTTACATCGCATATATAACTTCTATGAAATGCTAACTGAAAATATTTAACAACTTAGTACTAAGATCTAATATATACTTAACTGATGAAAACTAGGTGTATGTTTGTTACCTCTACCTACCCCCACACGGAATATACACTTAACAGTCCCGATATTTTTAAATCTAATACAATATTGATAGAATAGATATATCGACGTGACGACGATCAGGGGGCTTACTCTTGAATCCAATTCCGATCGATCGACAATGGCATTATGAAATTTTGTACTCTTGAGCTGCAACATTGACGCCCATTGTATCCGGATTGCGTGGACATGTATTGAACTAAATGGTGTTGAGTTAAGTTTTATCATACGTACTTATTTTGAATGCTATTTTAACAGCTAAGTTATGTATAGTTTTGACATTGAATAATTATTGAGATTTTATTGGATTGAAACTGCATTGTCATTGAGATTGGTTTCAAGAGTAAGTCCCCTGGTCGATATATGTCTATCTAGGGCGCCCTCTACTGACGGTTCTATTCATATTCGCTCTTATACTTCTTTCGTAAATCTACTTACATCCATTCTTTCTACATGTCCAACAAATATTAAATATTCCCTTTTTCAATCCTTGTACCAGGGACCTTCTACCAACACTCTCATTAATTAATCGTTAGATCATACAAATGAATTTTTTTGATGAGTATCAAATTCCTTAAAGACAGCAATAATACATTGAATAATAAGAAACAATTACAATTTATCTTCTCTATCTAATAAGCCCCTACTCTTATCACATGAATCAGCAATTTTGTTAAAAAATATCGAACAGTATTTCTGATTAAATAATTTGGATTATACCTAGGTATATATCTAAAGGTTCTAAGTACATCATGATATTCTGATTTGGTATCTTACTTCAAGTTCATTTGCACCTGCCTGATAAAATATGCTGTAGATATTACTGGATGCTCTCAATCATGCAGCATATGGAACTGCTGAAAGAGTTCGACGTGGCTAATTAGGGTTTTCGTTAGGATTTTTCTTACTCGTTCTTCTCCATAGGAATCTACACCTTGAAATAAGCAAATAGCTTCACTATTATTTTTTTTGTTGACGTTCAAAAGTGTCTTCCCAGATTGTCTATTGCTGAAGTCGTAAGTCGTCATGCTAAAGGAAGTCTCGACTCGGGCGCATATTCTTTTCTTGACGTCCAAGAAAAGAAAATCTACAAACATAGATAGAGCTACATACGCTATAGTTATCAAAAGCCATAGAATATATTTAACATCTCTCAGCCTTTTCTTCTCAGCATCAGCTTCAGCATCAGCCTTTTATCCTAGAAGGAATACCCCTTCGAGGATAAAAGGCGTATGGCAGAGGTACACACTACAGCACTTAATGCCACTGTACAATATAACACCCACTTTTCACTATTTATGTTATGAGACCCATATAATAGCAATAGGCTCACCAAATGGCAATAGCCTTCCCCCTAGACTCCGTGCTACTACTGAGATTTTTGTTAAAAACCCAGTAATACTTTGCCCGACCCGGGAATCGAACCCGACACCCGTTGCCCGGCAGTCGCACTTGCGACCACTTGGCAGTCATTAGCCATAGAGTATTTGAAGCTCAACAAGATACTTTTAACATGAAGGTACGAAGACTGAGCGTAACACGCTCTGCCAACGACTTCTAGGAACAGAGACATAATGTTAGGTATGTATGAACTAATTCATCATAAACTGGCATCCACAGGTCGCTTCTGTGTTCCTAGAATACCTAGGTAGGTACATAGGTACCCTGCAAGCACTCAACGAGGGTTCCTTGAATTACAATGCTTTTGTTTGTAATGGAAAATTGTGAGGCAAAGTTGCTTTGTCTCGAATAACTTTTTAATTATTTTATTTTCTAGGAGTTTGTTCAATGACGCATCTATTATATAAAATATGATTCATAGAAGATTTTTTTTTTTTTTTTAAGGGGGGAAAATCATCGAATGACTGCTCCCGCCTGGGTGAGGCGGAAGGGAGTGTCAGACTCTTACTGACTAAAAACCACCCCGTTCCTTCTCCTGCACGTCGAGCCGGAGCCCCGGTTACCCGTTAGGTTCTCAGAAGATAGATGTGTGACTTAGATACCTAGTCTATTTGCATAGCTTGTAGATTCAATGATGCCTATTTTGAGGATGAAAAAGTAAGCAAGAGTTTAACCCTTACTTAGGGAAATAATATCTACCAGCTTTTGGATAAAACGAACAACTAAAACTGACAAAACACTAGATAGAACTATTATCCGCACTCCATACATATGTAAATATATTTCCTAAAATGGTTCCATTCAATGGTAAAATGTGATATGATATCCCTTGGCCAATGTTGACCTATATTTCCCTACCAAATGGAACTTCCTATCAACACACTACGTCACAAACGCAAATGCATCGAAAACACTAAACGGTTCTAGAGCCGAATCCGTCTGAAGTGAAGAACAGATGAACGTTCCAAATTTAAAAATAGAAACACGGACGAAACAGTAGTCCGCGCGCTTTTACACCGGCTTTCTACATCTAACCTAAAATTATAAATTACAATAACCATTCATTACATGTGCATCATAGGGAATTAGCAGAAATGTCTCAAGACGAGGGCTTCTTTAAAAAGTTCCACGAAACTATAAACAGTTCGTTGGATGACGTGACGAGGAACAATTTCGTCAATTTAGAAACGAACACGAAGCGAGTCTCCTACTTGTGCAGTCTACCGACCGTCAGGAATTACAATTTAATCGACGATTTGCAGAAATGTCAGACAGGCGGCGAGTTTCCAGTGAAAAAAGACTTGGAAAAAGCTCGATTATTGAAGGATGAGGGTAATAAAGCGGTACAGAAAGGTGACTGGGCGAAAGCGATGCAGATGTACAGCCAAAGCATGGTTCACATGCCCGAGAAAGAAAGTAAGTGTTTGGTTCCTCCTGCGCTGAGTACGGAGTTCACACTTCGCATGTTTACGTAAAGGTTCACGTGGTGTAATGTAAACAAACAGTTTGTTACTGAAAATTAAGCTTTCGTGTCAAGTCAACTTTTTTAACCTTATTCGTGATCGTGGCATTAATGTTTAAAACTAATGTCTTATATCCTAGATAGAAATATGGTAGTTATAAAACCAAAGACAATCTAGGTAAGTAACTGCCTAAATACCCATCATTTTGTTACCTGCATACCAAATGAATTGATTCAGTAACATACAAACATACATAGGTATATAGATGGTTTTTTTTATGGGGAGAAAATCATCAAATGACTGCTCCCGCCTGGGTGAGGCGGGAGGGAGTGTCAGGCTAATAAGGAGTCAGTAAGGACTAAAAACCACCCCGTTCCTACTCCTGCACGTCGAGCCGGAGCCCCGGTAACCCGTTAGGTTCTCCGCGACAGAAACATAGATAGTGGGTGTTATTTTTCACAATGGACCTGAATAATAAATTTCATTACTACAGACGGACATTATTTTCATAAACTTTAATGTATTTTAACCGCAACAATGATTTCCTTATATAATTTATTTTATTTCGTTGCATGATTTTCCTGTTAATATCACTAAATGCTTTAAATTCCCGGTATTTATTCTAGAACACATATCCAGAGGACGCTTACAATACATTTTAATGTACGATTTTCCTCAACAGTTCTCGGTAACTGAAAATTTATTATTTGTTACTTTATTATTATTATTTTCATTCAGCTTGTTTGTGATTTATTAACGTTTTAAAGGCTCCTGAAATTGCCTGTAAGAGTTCTGAAAGTGAGTAACCTCAGGGACTTACCGGCAGTTTATCTTTATACATTCAATTTAATTAAAATAAAGGAGTAACAGGTTAAATAAATTTTGTGACATATGTATCAAGTACCTTCAGACGTGTCGTAGTTTACGAGTTTAATATCTAACAAAGGAGATTGAATTCAAAACCTGTTCATTACTTAAGGTTCAGAACTGATAAGCATAAGATTAACTACGACTAGGAAAATAGGTATACCTACAAATATTTATAACAGGCCATTTATCTGCATAAAAGACTCTCTCTCCATCAGAAACAACAGCCACACAAATTATATTCATTCAGCCAGTACAAACGATGTATTTATTTTCTACAGCTGAAGAACTATCAATAGTGTTAGCAAACCGCTCGGCAGCTCTGAATCACCTGGAACAATATGAGGACACACTGGCGGATATCAAGAGGTGCCTCAATCTTGGATACCCTCGTCATCTCCGCTATAAGGTATACGAGAGAAGGGCCCGGTGCCTCCTCGTGCTGAAGAGGAACAAGGAAGCTATTAGCGCTTTCCAGTAAGTTTCTTTCAGAGTTTGTTTTCGGTTTATTCGTATATTAAAGAGTAATTAGGAAATATTTGCCTAATTTCAAATGTTACTTTTTGTCGTTTTTTTCGTGGACTGATTGGATCGTGTTGAAGTATGACCAGCACTATTTTCAGCTACTGATATTCATTGAACATTTCATAATCACGAATTCGTTCAGAGGATCTTATAGATGATAATGTTACTTTCTTCTTTCAGAGACACAATCAGCTCTCTAGACGAAGCGACAAAATTGGACAAGGAAAAACGACAAAAGATGCGCACGGACTCCAAACTTATGCTGGAGATATTGAACAAAGGTCTAGTCTTAGCCGGGAATCCGAAAGACCCGGAACCTTTGAAAAAGACTCCACCAAAGCCCAAACTTCCAGGAAAACATAACTCTCAGTATCCTGCGGCTTCCGAAGCCATTCAGATTGACTCTGATGAAGTTAGAGGGAGATTCGCAACAGCTACGAAAGACATAGAACCTGGAGAGATCCTGCTTGTGGAAAAACCTCATAGTGGAGTACTTTTGGCGGAGTACTCCGGTACACACTGCCAGCACTGTTTCATGAAGTATGTATTTCATTACAAAATCCATATTTACCTCAAATTTCAATGGCATTCTATACCAAAATTACTTCTTTTACAGATGTCCAATTCCTCTGCCATGTCCAAAATGTCCTAACGTAGTATTCTGCAGCGACAAATGCTTGGAGGCAGCACAAAAGTCATACCACGGATATGAATGTCACATTCTTCCCCTCATCTGGAAGTCAGGGTGTTCCATCACATGCCACATAGCCTTGAGGATGATCACCCAACAGAATAAGGACTATTTTCCGAAGCTTAGCCAAGAATTGGATGCCAAACCACCTGGTCCATATAAAACTGAGGACTATAGAAATATCTACCATTTAGTATCGCACGAAGATAAAAGATCCAAGCTAGACTTTCTACATAGGACTCAGATGACAGCCTTCTTCGTGAAACTGCTTGAGGTCAGCGGCTACTTCGATGGAAAACCAAGGATTAAGCCAGTGGAACTAGATGAGCTTAAGACAATGGCTGTAGACGAAAAATATAAAGACGATGTAGCCCTGATTGGAGGTCTTATTCTAAAGAATCTGCAGATATTGAAGTTCAACGCTCATGAAGTGTTTGAGCTGCAGTGCCCGAAGCCTAAAGTGGATAAGAACGTGATCAAGCATGAAGGCAAGTCAGTGTTCCTGGCAGGAGCTGTGTTTCCAACTCTTGCGCTTTTCAATCATTCTTGCGATCCTGGTGTTGTGAGGTGAGACAGTCATCTTATTATTTTACGTCATTTAATTACCTACTTAGAATCTCAGATATAGTAAGTATCTAAATAAAGTCTATGTATCACCTTAAATGAATTCCGTCTTTCAGATATTTCTGCGGCAATAATGTTGTCGTTCGCGCAGTTAAAAACATTAAGAAAGGTGAAGAAGTTTCTGAAAACTACGGCCCCATATTTACGACTGTCCCTAAAGAGAAGAGGCAGGCAGAGTTGAAGGAGCAATATTGGTTCGACTGCCATTGCACACCGTGCGAACATAAATGGCCCATGTACGGAGAAATGAATGAAAATTACATGAGATTCAAGTGAGTACTTATTATTTTATTTTGTTTATATTATTGTTTTGAACATTACTACTTAGTTTGTAAAAATCAAAAGTTAAAATCATTTATTTCAATTAGACCAAGAAGGCACTTTTGTACACCAACAAAAAAAAGTGAAGCTATTTACTCTACATAAATACATATTAGGAGACAATTACATAAGTTAACTGAATACAAAAAATAAATCGATTGATAAATCGTTATATAAGTGGCTGGTAGCGGAATCTGTTATCGAGTAGGATAAATTTAAATATGTAGAGCGAAAATAAATACGAAATTCAATTGCAAAACGATTCCACAGAATTCGGCATTAATTTTTTTATAGACTATGTATATTTTTTGCAGTAATTGAACAATTAGAAGCTTTTTGTATGCAATAGTCTGTATTTTATAAGCGTTTAAATATCTAGTCACTTACTAACACTATCACCTACTTATTTTTTTAGGTGTGACTCGGATCATCCCTGCCCGAACGTGGTAGCAGTGCCCTACGACAGCCAAGAATTCATGGTGCAGTGTGGTCTTTGCCAGCAGTATACCAACATACTGAAGGGATTGAAATCATTGCAAGTAAGTTTAATTTAAACACAAAGATAATATTTTAAACTCACGTTTTTAACTTTACACATAACGTCATGCCTTTTCATTCCAGAAGGAAGTCTATGTATTACTTCACTTCAGAAGTCATGTATTAACGCATAGGACTCATAATCTTGGGGTGGTCCTATTTTATACAGATTGAAAACGTATCTTCACATTTATTCGAATGATTCAACGACAGATTAGGCAGAACATATTCTTCCTGCTCGAATATTTCGAGAAAAATCATAAATTTTTATTCAAACAAAGCATATAACCAAAGTCTACTGACTAATAAAATTACTTAGTACTAATATCAAATATTTCTGTAGAACGTAGGCATCCGCATTGAAAATACGAGGCGAATTAGTATGAGCATGAAAATTAAACAATAAATACATTCAGTCTGACCTGGTATAAAATTATTTGTCGCTATAACTTTATGGATATCCACTAAACTGAAAATTACTTGTGCAAACATGAAAATTGTATGAAAATTCCGTGACGATGTTATCTTTGTTGGAGTTTACTATGTAACCATTTATTATATAGATAGGTACTAAATATTTATTGTATGTTACTAGTTTTCCGACACACGCTTGCTGTAACAAAAATATTCTTATACCTTTTAAGTGTGATGATAACCTATACTAATATTATAAAGTTGAAGAGTTTGTTTTTTTGTTTGTTTGTTTGAACGCGCTAATCTCCGAAACTACTGATTCGAATTGAATAATTATTTTTGTGTTGGATAGCCCATTTATCGAAGAAGGCTATAGGCTATAAAACATCTCGGCCATCCTCGATAAATGCGCTATCCAACACAAAAAGAATTATTCAAATCAGACTTGTAGTTCCTGAGATTAGCGCGTTCAAACAAACAAACTCTTCGCTTTATATAATAGTATACCTAAGATAAGGGTTAGATTACAAATGAAGAAAAAATACATAATAATTTTATAAAAAAAAACAGTTTATTTATTATGTAAAGTGCAAACGTCTTACATAAATAAACATATTGAGCTACAATTCATTTCATTTACTTAAAGGCACTGGGTTGGTAATATATTAATAGTACATACATAATGAATAAATTAAAGCTAAATACGTAATAAGTAACAACAACCTAATATCAAATAAAATAACGTTATTGCCCAAGAGAGTGTAGGCAGTGAAGTGTACAATATTAAGTATTACAGCTAGTTATAAAACAAACAGGTCCGACATAAATACAAAGGCGAAACTAAATCACGAGGCAAACCCGAGATCCACACTTTTACTGAGAAATTTTACTAAAAATGCACCCTCACCGGGAGCACCCTCGCGTGTAATGTAACGTTACAGATCTGAGCATTACATCAGTGAAGGCGGAGAGCCGAGCATTACAATGCGCACCTTGTAATGATACAATGTGTAATATCTTGATACAACTTGTAATATCAAAGCGCTCTCCATGCTCAAAGTCGAATCAATATGTTACATTACATGCAAATGCTCACATAACATAACATTACGCCTTTTATCCCCGAAGGGGTAGGCAGAGGTGCACATTATGCCACTGTACAATGTAACACCCACTTTTCACTATTTATGTTATGAGTCCCATGTAATAGGGGGTGAGCCTATTGCCATATACCGGGCACAATTCCAGACTCCGTGCTACTACTGAGATTTTTTTAAAAACCGCAGTAATACTTTGCCCGACTCGGGATTCGAACCCGAGACCCCTTGCCCGGCAGTCGCACTTGCGACCACTCGGCCAACGATGCAAATGCTCGTTGTTACATTACACGCAAATGCTCGATAGTCAGGGAGGTATTATTGTAATGTAATGCTCAAAGTCGAATCTATAGTGTTACATTACACGTAAATGCTCCCATGACATAATATATGCTGGGAAGCAGACGCAAACCTAATTCTCCGATATGACTTTCATTCTAAAACCATATTAAAATGACGCAAATAAAATTACTGTAGAAAAATTATGCTCCCCATAAATGGTGCAATCACAGTGAGAACGCACTTCTTCCTTCTTAAAAATAATATACATAGTTCAATGTGCTATTCAAATTACACACACTATTAAACTGTCAAACACCAAGCGGTCACCGGTGACCGCGACCTATTGTTCTTTAATTGTGTCTATAAAACCGGTACTCGACGAGTTAAAACATCATTCAAAACCTATATAAATACATTTCAGTACATATAAATACCATAGACAGTCGTGTAACAGAATATAGTTTCGTTCCTATACGTCGCGTCCGTGTAGTCGTCAGTCTCCGGGTCCCAAATACATCTCTGTCCGCACTTCACGCCTGCGCCCTTCATTTCTATTATTGTCGATTGTACAACGATCTTGTATCTGGAATAAGGATAGAATATTAATAAAAAAGTGATACAGCGATACGCAGCATGTTTCAATGCAAACCCTATCTTTTGGATAGGTTATAAATATAGTGGTGCCACCTATGTTAAAGAAATATCTCATACTATTAAATAAAGCAGAAAAGTTTGTTTTTTTTTTGTTTGTTTGTACGCGCTAATCTCTGTAACTACAAGTCTGATTTGAATAATTCTTTTTGTGTCGGATAGCGCATTTCTCGAACATCACGCTCCGATCAATAGGAGCTGAGCAGAGCATGTGAAACCGCGCCAAAGTAGCTAGTATTAGATACTACAGCACAGTCGTTGTTGGAGTCACAAGTGTAATTAGCGGCCGAGGGGGTCTATACTTCAATTCTCAGCTACTGGGTCTTTTCTGTTTTTCTAAGGTGTATAGCTATAGACTTACTCTTATACAGCTATTGAAAATTAGGCATTAGTTTTAATAAAATTGCTTACCTTTTCATATCAAGTTCTTGTACCCTCTGTCGTATGCCATTTGCTATGACTTTGACCCATCTGGCGGCCTGGTCGGACCTGTACTGGCGACCCATCAGTTGTTCCTGCATTATCGTCAGTATTATTTCCTTTACGTTGGCCGCTTGGAATCTGAAACATAAATTATGTAATACAATAAAATTTAAATACAAAAACAGTCTTTACTCGACTATGGGCTAGGGGCCTTTTCAAGACAAGAGGGGATTCGCAATCTCTATACTTAAAATGCGATCTAGAGTTAAAAAAGGTCAGATTTATTAAAGAGATAGTAACTGTCAAATGTGTTGCCCCTTAGTCGGTCCTTACGACATCCGCCTGTGGAGGAAAGGTAATGTGAAAAATAGCCAGCTAAAAGGCTTTCTATTGAGCATACTCAAAAATGTTCAAATATCGAACGCCAGTTGATTTGCAAACATGCCTGAATTCGAGCAACATACCAATACACATGCTAATAAGTGACAAGTGCTCGATTAAAGCATGCTTGCATTGTGTATGCAATGCACCTACCTTAACCCTTTGGGTTTTTTTTTTAAGGGGGGAAAATCATCGAATGACTGCTCCCGCCTGGGTGAGGCGGAAGGGAGTGTCAGACTCTTACTGACTAAAAACCACCCCGTTCCTTCTCCTGCACGTCGAGCCGGAGCCCCGGTTACCCGTTAGGTTCTCCGCGACAACCCTTTGGGTACTGTCATTATAGACACAATAAAAAAAAAATAAATAGGTTGCGGTCACCGGTGTCCTCGCGGTGTTTGACAGTTTAAGGATGGTGATACATGTATTCTATATCATCAGGCATCAGCAGATCGATTACTTAGCACAAATCAATGTGTCTTTTTTTCTGCCACCAGGATACAATATGCAGTGGTTAATATAAACATAACTATATCAAACTTACTTTTCACCAAGACCTGGGCGTACTTCATACTTAGGCGGCGCTAAAGGTTTTTCTACAGCTGGACTTATTGTCTCTTGGACCTCATCATCACGCACTGCAGGAACTTCAGTTTCTTCCTCAATATCTGAAATGAAACGTTTTAGTGTTAACTAATGGCTTTTTAATAGTACAGAACTAGACTACCTACATATTATGTAGGTAGTCTAGTTCTGCCGAGCATGCTCTGAAATTGTGAATTATTAAAGGACACTTAGAGAACAACAAATGTCATGAAATGTATACTTTTAAAATCATCAAAACAAATGACTTTATTTTTAGCAGCAAGCTCTCAAAGTGTGTATTGATTATTTATTTATGAAAGGACACTTAGAGAACAACAAATGTTGGAAATGTCACAAATGTGGTTGAACTTTTAAGCCCGTTTAAGAACGGTATGTAAATTGATGATACAAATAAATAGTAAAAATATTAAGTTTCATACCATCATCATCATCTGCCATTGTGGGTTATGCAGTTTTAATACAGGGAATAAATTATCTGTAAGAAAACAATACAATTAAATCATAAATAAGTTTTGTTGACTGTACTACTGACAAAGATGTGTGATACACTTTTTAAACAAAGCCCTGTGGCCCTGTGGTCAATCCCACCAAGTGCAAGTGAATATTGCATTATGATATGATAGTCAACCACCATGCAACAATTATTTGTGTGTGCTCTAGATGTTGGGAATCTTTGTCAGGGTGTGATGTATATGTGAAGTTGTATTTTTAAATACAGTGAAAGAAATTTAAGAAAGGCTTTAAGTCTAGGGTGTATTTAGAAAGAATAACAACTTCTGGACTGTAATAGATAATTAAACCCTATATAATATTATTATTTCATTCTCAGGACACAGAAATGATGTACCGTCTCGGCCGTGCAGCAATGGAAAGCGGCCAGTACGGAGAAGCCATAAAGAAGTTTGTAGCAGTTCTGAAACTTTATGATGAAACTCTGTCCCCACCGTATCGTTCTTATTATGATTGTGTTCAGGACTTACGGCGCAGCATGTTAGCTTTGGGCAACTATAGTATTATTTAGACATTATAACTTCTTCGATTGAAATTTTCTGATTAGAAAATAAGTTTCATAATGTGTCTAGATAATTATGTGGTTTTGTTTTTGGTTTTTGTGTAACTATTTTGTAGATTTTTTCGTTGTTGTAACATAAAATTATGACTCTTTTGGAGGCAACGATTTGTGTAATTACGATTTAATTATGTTGCAGAGTTGTGTCTATTTTTATTACTTTCTGTTTCTATGCCACTGAGCTAAGATAAAATTATTTTACTAATGTAAGACATATTTATTTACATTAAATGGTAAAGTTTGTATTTTTTATTCTTTCATCTCAGTAAACAATGTAACAAAACGTGAATTAAACTTTAAAAAATGTTATTTGATTTTGTAATTGGAACGACTCCAACCTATAAAATTGCATATTGCTTTGTATTATTCAAAACAACTCTTTAAACAGTAAAACATTTTTGTTATAATAGCTTACCATAGGGTATTAATATACACAGTTTCACCACTATTTACTATAAAAATCGATTATTGTAAGTGTTACAATTATTTGGCCGTTGACCGTTGTTATGACAACCAAAACAGATTAGAACCATAGACTACAAAAATGTCATGTTATGTGAAAATGTCATTACCAAACGTCAAAAACAAAATATCCCTCTGTTTCGCGTGCGTTACCCCAACAAGAAAGTATCTCCTAGAGATATATGAGTAGAACGTATAGTTGGTGCCTTATCTGCTGTAAATGTGCCCCCACTTAAAAAATGTGTGCCCCCTGTCGTTTTGAAAAAAAAACGGAAAAACGATTCTTGCTGGGGTAACGTTTTTCTAGCAGGAAAATTCTAAACGAGTGATCGGAGAGAAAAAAAATGTGCATGGCCAGAGAGCTTATATGTGTGCCACTATGTGCCCCCAAAAATAAAATCTGTGCCCCTTCAGATTTTCGGGATATTGCGTTTCCTGCTGGAGTAACGTTTTGATGAATCGTATATCTCTAAAACCATTGCATGTGCCCCTGTAGAATAAACATTCACGAGTAGCTCTTAATGTGTGCCTCTGTGTGCTCCAATTAGATTTAAGGAAATATTTATAGTTTTCAAGTTATCGCGGTTTTATGAAAATCCGAAAAAACATCGCAGCGCCTAAATGAGATAAGGTATAAGTTCGCTGAAAACTGTATTCGGTCCTTCTTGATGCTAATAAAAACCATACAAAGTTTCAAAACGCTTCATGCATGCGTTTTTGAATAATCTTGCTACAAGTCAAGACGATGGTGTCATAACTTTGACGGCAAAATACAAGGAACTGGCTAAATCCCAGATGTGTAGGTGTAAACCAAAATCATGTGCCTTTAATCAAAAATATGTGGTGAAAATATTGAGCTTGGAATGTTTCGCATTAAGTAAATATGAACAAAAAACCGAATTAAGTAAACAACGGCTGGTTATCCGACCAAATTTGAATGACTACTAAAAAGCGACGGATTCATACATATCGATGACCTTCTTTATTTTACTTACTAACCGGTTCACACGTGTTGTGCCTGAGTACACTGAAGTAGAAAAGTAATAAATAATAAAATAAAGTTGTTATTGGATTATGTTCTACTAGTGAATAATAGGTACAAAGTGTTTATTGACTAGGAGGTGCGTTTAGATTATTTCTTTTTATTGGTAAACAGTTGCAGTTATGTAATGACGCCAAGGCCACTGTTATGTCGAGTCACGCAGTTGCACTGATACTGTTTGTTTACTTTTTGTTTTTTTACTTACTGCGGTGGTAAGTATTTAATATCTTTATTTTGACTTTTTTACAAATACTTGTACCTTATGAAATAGTTAGCTTATTTGTTTCTGCTATAAGACAAAGAGTTTGCTCTAATAGTATGTGCATAAGTCATGCAGATGAAAACAAATTGTACAATTTCAAGTATTTGCCGTTGAACTTAGATATAATAAATATTAAAGGTATCAACCACCTACAAGAACTTGCGAATCATGTTTAAGAACAGAATTTACTCCAGAGTGTCATATTTGTTGCGCCGGAAATATATCCTTCAGATACAATGTTAAAGATATTATCATTTATGAACTTCATGACGTTTGCGTCAAGTTGGATGATCTGCCTCGTAACATTGAAGTAAATAATAAGGAGTACACAATTCTGTCTGCAATAGAATATGAACCCGCTTCGAAACTCAATAGTGTTGGACATTACAGGGCTCACTGCTACAGAAAAAATAGTAATTTATTTGAATGTTATGATGACTTATATGGTAAAATCCAACGAAGTGGGAAATATAATATTATGCCACATGTAATAGTCTACACAGTAGAATAGACAAAATTGTACAGGGTTAAAATGAATGCTCCAGAGTAGCCCGCGAAATACAAATTTTCTTATGTCTTTTGGAAATTTAGTTTAGTTTAAGTTAAGTTTTTTTCTTAAATTAAGGGAAGAAAAATAATAATTTCCACATCAACAAGCTGTTTCATTAATATAGTCACAAGCTGCATTTAATATATTTTTTAATTAGCCCCCAAAACTTTTGAACGCAACTGCACGGACAACAGCTTAGGTATAATACGTCCAATAAAGAAGGTCATCGATATGTATGAATCCGTCGCTTTTTAGTAGTCATTCAAATTCGGTCGGATAACCAGCCGTTGTTTACTTAATTCGGTTTTTTGTTCATATTTACTTAATGCGAAACATTCCAAGCTCAATATTTTCACCACATATTTTTGATTAAAGGCACATGATTTTGGTTTACACCTACACATCTGGGATTTAGCCAGTTCCTTGTATTTTGCCGTCAAAGTTATGACACCATCGTCTTGACTTGTAGCAAGATTATTCAAAAACGCATGCATGAAGCGTTTTGAAACTTTGTATGATTATTAGCATCAAAGGACCGAATACATTTTCAGCGAACTTATACCTGTCTCATTTAGGCGCTGCGATGTTTTTTCGGATTTTCATAAAACCGCGATAACTTGAAAACTATAAATATTTCCTTAAATCTAATTGGAGCACACAGAGGCATACATTAAGAGCTACTCGTGAATGTTTATTCTACAGGGGCACATGCAATGGTTTTAGAGATATACGATTCATCAAAACGTTACTCCAGCAGGAAACGCAATATCCCGAAAATCTGAAGGGGCACAGATTTTATTTTTGGGGGCACATAGTGGCACACATATAAGCTCTCTGGCCATGCACATTTTTTTTCTCTCCGATCACTCGTTTAGAATTTTCCTGCTAGAAAAACGTTACCCCAGCAAGAATCGTTTTTCCGTTTTTTTTTCAAAACGGCAGGGGGCACACATTTTTTAAGTGGGGGCACATTTACAGCAGATAAGGCACCAACTATACGTTCTACTCATATATCTCTAGGAGATACTTTCTTGTTGGGGTAACGCACGCCTCTGTTTCACGTTTGAAATACTTCACAGTCCTCCTTTCACGACATATCTATTTATTTTGTTTTTCTTTTCAATTTTGTCTACAACAATTACAATAAAAATTGCAAAAAATAAAACACCAAAAAATCTTCTAGAAAAAGTAGAATCGGGAAGAGTAGAGTCGGGTATAGAGTATAGACTGCCAAAAGAGTGTACCCTCTTCTATGATTTTGTATGATATGCTTTGAACGCCATCTGCATATTGTTACGTCACATCAAGTGACAAGTTAAATCAATTTATTGAACTGGTCCTGGCTCTAAGAAAATATCTAATATTAAATGGCATGTTATGATTTGGCGGCCATATATATTAAATATTTTACTGATTTTATTAAAAAATTAGATAAATCTATCGCTATGTAGGCAAAACTGGATCGGTTCATATTTATGGTTTAGTAAAGAAGATGGCGCTGCCGTGCCCAGTTTGTGTTGTTTTTTTGTAGGCCTATGTATGTTCCCCTACCTACTTCCCTTCTTACGAGAACAACAAGCAAAATGTCAAAAAGCGTTTCATGTTACATTGTGGATTTTTAGCATTATTCCTGAGATTATTTGTAAGGGAAACGTTCATAAACGTTGTAATCTGCCTCTGTCTTGTGTGGTTCATATGTTAAAGAATCTACATTTCTAAAAATTCTTAACTTGTATCACGCGAAAAGCATTTTGTTTGGGAACTGCAAGTTTGACATGTGTTTCAGTTTTAGTGAGCGAATACAAGAAAAAAGATTAAAATTGAAGTAATTAATGTAATTAATAGGATGGCTACATACGATAACAAGATTTGGTTGTTAAAAAATATACGAGATGCTTTCATTGCGACTGACGACACCGGTTTATGTGAGATCGTTATGGCTGGAGACGACTTTTCGAAAGTGTTTCAAAATAAAGCTGTTGAAGAGAAAAAGAGGATAAAAGAGTTGAGGTTGACTCAGCCTGGACCTAGCAAAGGTAAAGATGGCATGGGGGACATATCTGAAGAGGAGGTTGGAAGGGAGATAGTGACACAATTTGATCCTTATCCTGATATGGATGATAGTGAGGATGACGACCCGTTGTGTGGCAGCTACGTGCGCTCCGAGGAGTTTGGAGGACACAGGTAAACTTAGATTACAAATTTTAGTCATTAATATATGTCTATTGCAACATAAACACATGACCTATGCTGAACATAAGCGAAGGCATTAGAATGTACTAAAACAAGTTTCTATCATTTGGAAAGTAAATGAGATAACAATAATAAAATCAATTACTGTGCAAACTTAGGAAAAAATGCTCTATTATTCATAATTTCAATGAAAAAAATGTTTACCTACTGACCTACTTTTCTAGATTAGGTAAAATACAATCTGTGCTACTTATGTCATCCTGCATAAACAACCAGTTATGACATCATGTGAATTTAGTTTCCATCTGGAATACATGAATAATCCACTTCAGAGTTCCTATTAAAAAGTCTCTAATTTGTTTTAGCTAACCTAATTTGTCATTTTTAGGCCAAGATCCAACACAGCTCAATGGCTAGACAAGAAGGAGCAAGCATTAAAAAAGGCAGCCAAAATAAAAGTTATAAAATGGGAAGATTCCACACCCCTCACAAAAGACCAGTTAGCCGAGGCATTTTCTAAATTTGAAGTTAAGAAACCAGAGAAGAAGAAATCTTTGTTGGCTGAACAGCTGCAGAACTGCCCCAACTTACCTCACCGTCAATATTTGGAGTATGCAAAGTTTGATGGGACTGCACAACTGGGGCTCCCTACAAAGTCATTCAAGATCTTCATGACTATGCTACCGGAAAAGTATCAGAATTACCCCTTAGTTGTGTGTGTCATTGCCAGCGCTAAGATCAAGGATTTAATTGGTTTCACATGCTATAAATACAGGTAACATTTGTGTTTATTTTAGATAAAACCATTTAGCACCAGTTTACCTTCCTCTAAATAAATGACTCACTCCATGAATGCATGCAATGACCTAAACTATTTTGTTTACTGTTTCCAGCATCGATCATCCAGACATAACACTTGGTTCTGTGCATGATTACGGACTTTGTATAGCAGAGGATGATGGAGAGGTTGACTGGGCGTTTCCCTGCCTTGATGCTAATGAGCCCTGTTCCAAGTTCGGTTTCACATGTCTCGGGCTAGTAGAATTAAAAAATAAAAACGCCATGACCTTACCTCCTTCATCGATACCAGAGGATGGTATGAGTGGGGCCTTCCATGTCTTCTCAAAAGTCACAGACTCTGGTCAAAGTCATCATAATCCATCCAGACACAATACAGGAGGCAGTTCTACATCGGAAGCTGTTCTGATAGCTTTGAAGGCTTTAAATGAAGGTAATAGATTCATTAATTTGTATTTTTTCCTTAAAAAAGGAATCTTCGATCGATGTATTGGGGATAGGTAATTATTGACTCTATCCTTACGATTCTTTATCTGCATTTAATTTAGGTGGTGCAGACACAGACTTAGGCAAGATGCAGTCCCATATAATGGCTACCGAGGCGCCGCAGTACAAAGCATACAAAGTGCAGTTACTTCGGAAAGTGAGGACAAATACATCGGTACAGCTCGGCATCTCGCTCGACAGGATAGAAGTGGAACCGCTAGTCACACATAAACACGCGTTCTGGGTAAGTTATCCTTACGTCATAGGTAATTATATAAAAAAATGTTTGGTAAAACCCTGAACCCAATAGGTAGTTAATGTTTATTATTAGACGTTGCAAAATCTATTTTGTAAGGAATGAAATAAGGATCAGATTTCTACATACTACTATGATGTTCTAAGTCATTTGCACGCTAGAAACTAGATGTGTACTTCTGAATTGGTTGTATTAAAATTATGTAATTTTATTTTTTTCCATGTACAGTCGAGATCGAAGTACTTCCTACACAGCATAGACTCGGTCGCTTGGTGCCAGATCCTTGAGACACGGGGCAATAGGACCACCTTCAGGATAGTCTACTCTCCTAGTCACAACGTTACCTACGCCGATAGGAGTAATGCAGGTAAAACTTACTTAGTTGAAAGAATAAGAAGTATGTTTGAATGTAATAATGCAGACGTTATTTAAAAGTGCCTCTTTGACCGAGTGGTCGTAAGTGCGACTGCCGGGCAATGGGTCTCGGGTTCGATTCCCGGGTCGGGCAAAGTATTACTGGGTTTTTAAATATTCTGAATAGTAGCACGGAGTCTGGAATTGTGCCCGGTATATGGCAATAGGCTCACCCTCTATTACATGGGACTCATAACATAAATAGTGAAAAGTGGGTGTTACATTGCACAGTGGTATAATTTGCACCTTTGCCTACCCTTCTGGGGATAAAGGGCGATGTTATGTTTTTTAAAACTCTAACGAAAATGATTTCTCTATTTCTAGGTAACTCCACAATATTCCAGCCAAACACATCATACAAGCTCCACGACTTCGAGTGCGAACACGACACTGCTAAAGAAATCGTAGAGAAGGTAAACACAATACTAGACCTTAGGAACAGTCCGTGCCGCCGCGAATACAAAACTGCCAAAGAAAAGAAATTACAGACCAGACGAAGTTTTCACACAAAACACATGAGTTGAGTCTAGTAGATACTCCTGTACAGTGTAATATACTCCAGTGAAAGTTCCTTTAGTACATTAAACACAAGTGAAATAGTATACATTAGTTTGTCTCGAAGGTCTAAAGTGCTAGTAAACCGTAGCATCCCTTACAGAGGCCATCGTCAATCACAACTAGTATTTAAAAAGCTGGAATTGAGTAAAGTTTGTTAGAAGCATTTATCTCAACCATTTGGAATTTTTTAGGTTTAATGAACCAGGAAAATTATGTTATAATCTAGTCCTTTCCTGCCCTGAATGATTTCAAATGACATATTTATCCTCAATATTATGATGAGTGTATTCTCAGTTGAAATCAGCATTTGTTTTAAGAGAATGTGTAATTACTGGTATAGTGTGTGCTTGAATGGCTTATTGAATGCAAGGCATCGATTGATAGAGGCTTCCAGCCATTGTTATTGAGGTGATTCTAAACAGGTTGTGTTTTTGTAGCAGTAAATGGATGCAGTGGCCACGGATACTAACAAAAAGTTAATAATGTTACTAAATACAATTTTGGTTATCATATCGTAGCTTGACTAAAGAAACTAATACAATTTTATCTGGCAGGCCAGTAATCTGTTGTTAACTTAAAAGTTCAGTTTATGTCAAACTTGATTTTGTTATTCCCAATTTCGTATTATACTACTTTTTCAGCATTAATTGAAATCAACTACCATAAATTCGTTGACTAATAAGCATGCCAACATGATGTCACACATGTAGCCTACATAGTACTTTAGCCCCATTGTAGATGAGATGTAGTGTCTATTCTTGATATTTTGCATCTAGACTATTAAATACATTAGCAGCCACACTGCAGTTAAGATACAACCTGTTTAGAAGCACCTTTAAAATTAAAATTTAATGAATATAAAATTGCAACCACATGAATTGATTCATATTGTAGCATTGGCAATTTTATATGTTGGAATTCCTAATTTGTAAGTTAATTTAACAAAATTATTATTTATGCAATTCAAAATTATACATACTTATTGCTGAATTTCTGTAATAAGTATGTATAATTTGATTGCAGAAAGCATGTTTTTTAGACAAAAACAAAAAATAAACATTTTAAATATAACAGAGAATGTAATGAAGCTACAGTATGAATTGACGCAAATTAACATTTTAATAATTTTGTATCTAGAACATAAGACATATGTAACATCTGAAATGTGATGTGTATTCAGTGTATATGAATATTGATTTTATTATTTTTATTGTTTAAGTTGTAATAACTTATTTTCGTCCATATTTAAGTTGCGTTAGAATTTATTGAAATGGTTTATGTCGCACAGAAATCCTGTGGGATTCATACAAATATTATTCAATGCAATATTATGTTGAATGTCTCACATAGTTTTAACTGTGATGTCTATTATTTTAAGTAATCTTTAACGAAACTTTTAGTTCGGTTTTTATTGATTAGAATATTATAATGTAATAGATTTTATAATTCAACTGGATTTCAATATAAAATGTCGAATTATATAATGAAATAGATGGTATTTTTGAATGAATTGCATACAATTCCAGTTTCCCGTACAGTCGCTCATATGAACAAAACTCCACTGCCAGATTCAGCTCAATTTTTATCAGAAGTGATCCATTGTGTGCCTTACTATTTAATGATAATAATAATTATGTATTTGTGTCTGTCCAGATTGAAAGATGTATGATTCAAAGTATGGAAAATGTATATGCCTATTTTAACCAATTATTGTATAAGAAATATATTCTACTTAATTTTTTCTCTTAAAATTTTGTATACAATGGATTGCTTCGTAAATTCAAATGTACAATATTGTAGTAATTTATGAATGAAATAATTTATGTTGTGATTCTCCATGTTGATTTCTTTATGAATCGAATTTATAATATGTATCATGTATGATGAATGAAATGTAAAGTTACAATGAAATAAAATTGTTATTCATTACATAATTTGTGGTTTTGTATGTCTGTGTATTTGCCTCTTACATTGATTTCTACAAAAATTGATTGCTTAGTCGTTATGACAAAAATAATCTTCGATATTGTATCAGTAGCAATTAATGTTAATTGAAACTTTATTGAAATGGAGATAAGGTTGAAAATCTACTTAAAATGTCATTAATATGAAGTACCATAGAAAAGAAAATAGTGAGTGAATAATAAAACTTAGTGGCAAATCTTATTCGTGTTTTCCCTATAGGACTTCTACAAATTGTTATGAAAGAAAACAAATCCAAAATCATGTTAGTCTTTTTATTATAAAAATATTTACACAATTAATGATTACACTATATTTACAACTAATATCTGCTGATATAGAACAGATTGTTGCTACACTAACCTACAGATTAAATATTGCCACCATAAAACTTGGCAACTATGCAACTAATATTTATAGAGTTAACAATAATATCTCTTACTTTTATGGCACAATATTTGTACAAGGATATTTTGTGATACCTATTACAGATTTTATTACATAAAGCTATTTACATAATCATGTACTTTTTCTGATAACCGCTAATGCATTTGTAATGCATCCTTTTTTCTGAGATTGCACTTATAGTCTTTTCAGCCAGTTGCAAGAGATATTTTTTATTTTAGTTATAAACACCAAGGAGGTTTATGTCATGGTCATTCTGTTGGTCCAACAGTACTGTTTTCTAGTATGTAATCTGTGACCATACTGACAATATTTTCACTCTGTGTCAATATTACATTATCAAGTTCGTTTGCCCTTTGATATAGTGCTCGGGTCTCTAGCACAGATTTGTGAAGTTTCTGTTGACTGTCAATGAGTTTGGATATGTTTGGTTTTCCTTTGATGAATTCTATATCTTCATTGGATAGTGCTGAATAAGACATTCTTGATCTGCTAGATGCTTTTACAGCCATCTGGTATTGTCTGTAATAAACAACAAAGTACAAAGTTATTATCAAAGACATGGTCATATAATTTTGATTGTAAGTACCTACCTATATTATGATTGATTCATACTCCTTAAGTTCATACTTTTACTTATGTTGAAGAATAACTTAAAAATTTAGTTGATTTTCAATTTGGTGTAGTAGGAACATCTGGTTGGTACATCTTGAAAAATTGCAAAATAAATAGATAAAATGTCAACATTAAAACAAATAAGATTAAAACTCACTGTCTCAGGTCATGGTACTTGTTTCTCCTCTCATTTACCTCCTTCTTCCACATTTCTTTCTCAGCCAGGAGTTTCTCACAATATCTATAAACAAATAACACAAAATATTCAATTTTCGTCAAGTCACACAGTTGATACCTGTATAATGTTTGGTATTGACACGACAAGCTCCTCTATACCTTGTGAGATCTTCAGAGTGCCTTTCATGTGCGTCAGCCTCTTTCTTATTTGAGTTTACATTGTCAGTCATTGCGTGTGGGACTGAAAGCAAGAATATCTATTAAATAATGTTTTTCCATAATAATATAGAACACGAAAAGTAGATTTTGCATAAAAACAGTATTTTATAAGTCCACAATTTCAAATATAATGCACAAGTTACCGCGCACCTATAGAGTCCCTTCGTTCGAAGAATGTTGACCGTCTTCGGCGAGGTGGAGATCGAAAAGATTGATGTGCCTCTGTTTCATTCATCGAATTATCCATTATTATCACTTTCACTAATTTTTAAACTGATTTCATCAACTTTCCAATTAAATGCAAGTAAATATTTTCAAAATTACAAACACGGCATGACGTTACAAACGGACGCCGTCTTTGACATAACACCATAGACATAGAGAAAATGTTTCTGGGTCATTCGGATATTCAAATATTTCGCTTTGCCATGCATCATGCGATTTTGAACTTGAAATCTATGGTGATTTTTTTTGGACAGTTTGCGCGGCAAACATCTTGCAAAATATTAGTATTTATTTGTCCGCTCAGCTAGAAGGGTGCCTCGGTCTTCCATTTTGGGATACTTTTTAACTATAACTTTTTTCGGAAATTTACGGTAAGGCATTCCACATTATACTAAGGAAAATGTGATAACATAAAATACAGTTTTTCAGATGGAATTACAAGAGTATTTTCAAAATTAAGTAAATATGGTCCAGATAGATGAAAATCATTTTTAATACAGGTAGAAGTGTTAAAGAAACATCTAATTCCATGCTTTCATTTACTTTTGCGTGAAACGGAGTTTTTTAGCTGACATTTTTAATTTGACGTTTTGTTTTCATCAATCAATTCATCTCATCTATCGGTAAATACCTACCGCAGTTTTTTTTATTAATTTTGCTAAGTTGAAAAAAGGGTCGTTTGTTATAATGTTTTGTTCTCGCAAGAGAACCTAAAATTCAATGGGTAAGGTGTTGTGTTGCGATGTAATATTTATGTTATGACAATGTTTTTGTGCTCGACATGTATCGCATAATGTAGCAGTGTTTGTGAAATATATAGTTTTTGTGAATGTTTCTCAACAGCATGCAGTAATGGAGTTCAGGCAATTTAGAACAAAAGAGGTATTGGACCCGGTAGATATAGATTATTACTGTGATCGATCACGCTCGCCGAGTCCGCCACCCGTGTTTAACACTACTGTATGTTGTGATTTGGAAGACATCTTGAGCGACGTAAGTGCACAATGTTAGTTTTTCACTCGGTTTTTCATCATTTCGCATGCAAGAATGCACTTTAAAACGTAAATGAGACTGGGGCTAATTCAACTCGAGGGCTGTTTGTTCAACCGTATTACAGTCGTCAGGTAAGTCAGCCTGGCATTGTGTATTATTTACATACATAATATAAATGCATATAAACGAGTTTTTTGTTTGCTCTCTTAACCTGTCGGGAATATTAAGTTACATGTGCTTGTGTAGCTATGAAGAGGAAAACCTGTGATTCTAAATTTAAAATCAGACACATTTATGGTCTACAAATAATTATAATTGATTGTAAATGACTAATACTTAAATGAATTCAAGTATCTTGTGTAACCACACACAATTAATTGTGAATAAATATAACAGTGTTATCTTTCACTGGGCTCTTCTATGATAGTAAATTAAAACAACGAAGGTTTAATTAAAACACTGAACTATGAACTTGATTCCTTCCCATAGATTAAACTTTTATTGAATCAACCTTGAATTGTGCTCTTGTCTTGTACTGAGAGAATAATAAGTATTTATTATGATTTAAATACTAAACATGAATAAAATGATACAACATGGTCAAATTAATGGGTTAGTAATTTGGTGGTTTAATTAATGAGTACCTAGTAAATTCTTGTTGTAAATGAAATATTATCTTTGAAGTATTTGATATCATACATTCACTATGTTAGGGAAATAAAGTCATTGTTATTTGTTCAATTGTTATAACTGATATTATTACACAAACCATAGACTTACAACAGCTGTAGAATGCTTTGTCCATTTTTTTTACACTGCATGAGAGTTTGAAATTTGAATGAAGAATAAAAAAAGGAAACATTTTTATTTTTTATGAAAACAGACCTCATTGGTTATGCATGTGCTTGCAGTATAATAATTATGTAAATGTTTTTATATGATGTATATTTGCAAATATTATTATCCACCAATTTAAATTGGAGTAAATGAAAAATATTTATTTCAAATTGATAAAAATATACTACAAAACATACAGCCGAATTGATTTTTGGGATGTCGGTTAAAAGTCCTTAAAATTGTCTTTTATTTTAGGCCATATCAGAGACATTGCATAGCTCTCTCCGTGTGAGCCGCAGTCAGCTGATTAACCAAGAATTGACTATAAGACCGGAGGCCAATATTGAAGCAAACGTACCAGAGGGCTTAGACTTGTACAAAGTTATCTTTGAGGTAGAGAGTGACACGGAGGGGAGGATGAGTGACGTAGAGGGTGCCGCAGTAGACAACAATTCATTGACTGATCAGGTATGTTTTAATCAGTAACTATTTACATACATACATTAAGTTATACTTTTGTCCAATGGGAAGTCGGCAGCGGCTGTGTTTTTCCTATCTAGTCAGCAAAATCTAAGTTTTGCTAATTTATTAATAATTTGGTACACATTCACAAATAGAACATATTATTATTTGATTATAAGTATATCATGTGGGCACTCAATCAATGCAAAGACCAAATTAACTGCTATCTAATTATGAGTGAAATTTGTAAACATTAAATTAACTTTATTATCTTTACATAGCAGTGGTAAGGTCTAATGACCTTTATAATTTATATTACATTACAGTCAGATAAAATAAAATAAGATAATTAACGAAAATTGGTTTACAAATCAGAAAATGCAATTATGCATTTTGTCAATTTATTCTGCTTATGTATTTTTTACACTTATTCATCCTAAAGTTGCCTAGAGGCTCCATTGTACAAAATAATGAATGTGTAAAATATTTATTTATGTAAATAATATGCAATAAAGTATTTATTATTATTAAATGTTGTCTCTGAAAAGGAAGTTAGCTATAAATCATTTGAATAGTGTTCTGACTGATTCTCAACCTCTATGGTTTTATTTTTTTAAACAGTATTGCTATTGCATTATTCTAGCAAGTAGGTTCATGTGCAATATACAATTACTTGACTATCTGCCCCTATTGTCTATTGTATGAATACCTATATATACTACATTCATAACAAAAACTGGAGCACTTTGACATGACATGTGAATGTAAACCTTGCCTTGCTATTTAGTAGGTACCTTAGTACCTACCTATGTAGGTAATCATTATTATGTTTTACCTAGTATTATTACGGCTTATGTGAAAGATAAATTAAAGAAATTAATATTTTAATATAAATAATTATGCAAATCAATTGAATTTCAAATTAGCAGAAACCATTTACATTTTTACTCAGTCTTTATAAGTATAATGGATGGTTTGAAGCCTAACCTGGGCCTTAATTCTAGGTTTGTGATCTATGGTAATAGGGTCACCATATACCTATATAAAAAGCTTTCTGTTATAGTGAAATGTTTTTAAAGACAAAATGTTTCATTCGAGCATTGCATTCAACTAATGGTTATTTTTTAGTAAAAAATAAACATATTTTTTCTGGTTTTGCGTAAAATATCGCACCGTAGTACAGTTTCTAACAATGCTAGAGAAAATGGCTCTGCAAGGTCGATCTATTGTATTATTATAGTTCCCCAACAGAGCACCTATTGCATCGTTTTGATAAATCGCATTACACTGCACTCGGGCGCACTCGTTACGTAATACCTACGTACTTACATATTATGTATTTATAATCCTTTCTTGAAGAATGAACTGTAGTGACTTGAAATATTTTATTTTATTTTTAACTAGCTTCTGCCCGCGACTTCGTACGCATAATCCCATTTTTTCCCGTCCCCGTTCGTGATTTTCGGTAAAAAGTAAAAAAAAAAAAATTGGTCAAAAAGTATCCTATGTCGGTCTCCGGGCTCTAAACTACCTCCCTACCAATTTTCAGCCAAATCTATTCTGCCGTTCTTGAGTTATAAGTGGTGTAACTAACACGACTTTCTTTTATATATATAGATCTAGCGTCTGCCAGCGGTTTCACCCAAGTTACCATGGGGTAAAAAGTAGCCTATGTGTTATTCTACACCATAATCTACCCCTGGTCCAAAATTCATTCCATTTCCTTCAGCCGTTTTGAATTGATTGAGTAACAAATATACTGATTCTCAAACTTTTCAATCTAATTCATTTCCCATCATCGCATTTGTCTAGTAATCTCAAATGTTACTAATGATTATTCTCGGTCTTATGCCCTAAGTTTAAATTACATAACTATGACCTTTGATGACCTTCGAATTTTCCACAAAAAAGATTTTACTTATAAACCTTTTGGTGTTGCGAGTATCCTGTACCCTCCATGGCCGACCATTTGCCTGGTCGTTTGTAAAAAAGTAAAAATGTGTTACATTTTATTGAGAGTGCAAAATCATCCAATGGCTACTCCCGCCTCTTGCTTCACAAGTGTCAGATTCTTACTCACTAAAAACCACCGCGTTCATAATCCGTCTTCGAGCCGGAGCTCCGGTAACCCGTAAGGGTTTTTCACAGCTGTGAAAAACCATTTGGTGCTCCAAATTGTCCGCAACTCCGGAAAAAGTGTGGTACTACTCTACCTACAACGTATACTACACATCCACGCAACGTAGGTTAAATACACCACTGTCAGTACCTCCAAGGCTAAACCTTGATTCAAGGATGCTTTACGACTGTGTCAAGGTTCTATGATTGTTATGAAACTCTTTAGTGTAGTTTTACATAACATAACATCACGCCTTTTATCCTCGAAGGGGTAGGCAGAGGTGCACATTACACCACTGTACAATGTAACACCCACTTTTCACTATTTATGTTATGAGTCCCATGTAATAGGGGGTGAGCCTATTGCCATATCCCGGGCACAGTTCCAGACTCCGTGCTACTACTGAGATTTTTTTTAAAACCGAAGAGTATTACTGACTTTGCCCGACCCGGGAATCGAACCCGAGCCCCCTTACCCGGCAGTCGCAATTTAGTGTAGTTTTATTGCTATTAAATCACTAACAGTACTTTCTTTTATGCAATTTCTTATGTATCCTTCGAGTTTATCAATTGAAAACTATGACATTGTTGTTTTAAATATTTATTTGTCATGCTATAAGTTTATTTACACAGTCTAGAAATCTAGACGCCAGTCTACTTGTAATATCGAAGCTGAAGAAACCTATTTCAAAACGAAAGATACTTAGGTAGTTGAACTTAGAAATCTTAACTTAGGACACCATGGCATGCCTAATACTACCTAGGTAGGTAATCTGTGATCATGGTTACACTCTAAAATCTAACTACCCAGACCCACTTTTTTTTTAAGGGGGGAAAATCATCGAATGACTGCTCCCGCCTGGGTGAGGCGGAAGGGAGTGTCAGACTCTTACTGACTAAAAACCACCCCGTTCCTTCTCCTGCACGTCGAGCCGGAGCCCCGGTTACCCGTTAGGTTCTCCGCGACGCCGAATCGGCATCAGCCCTATTGGGCTATTGGCCCATCTGTGGTGGTCTGATGGCTCTTTGAGGCGCGCGCTGAACGCGACGCGCCGTACGCTCGGGTCTGTTTCTGGTCGGACGGGGAGCCACCCATTCTTGTCGGACGGGTCTGGTCCTCCTTAGCTAGCATGACTGCTTCGCAAAAGGAGGAGACGGCATCCCAGTCCCCCTCGCTCAGCATCATGGCCTGCACTAGGCCCGGACGCGAGAGGTCGCCATCGCCGATCAACCCAGACCCACTAGTCAGTATTCGAATAGCTACTGTCTCTTATAACTAAAACCAGTCAAGAATATGTCGCACTAATACAACAAATACCAGTTTCTTAAACATTATTTGCCTTGGAATAACTTTTATAGTGTGGCTTGTAGACCTAAGCAGTTACCTCAGATTTATTATCTCAAGATAAGACAAGGATATCGAAGAAAGTGTGTTATCGTATTGAGTTTATAGCGTTACTTTACTAAGAAAAACTGAATACACTTAAATATTATTTTTTTCCTAAGTACCTAGTTACTCCCCTGCGGTTTTGCCCTCAGCTCGGCTCTTATTGGTCCCAGCGTGATGTTTTACAGCCTATAATAGCGTTTCTTAATAAATGGACTATCCAACACAAAAAGAATTACGTAATTCGAACTAGTAGTTTCCGAGAATAGCCAGTTTAAACAAACAAGTTTTATAATACAATATTTCTTTTCTCCTTGTCACCAACCGTTGACCCGTCGTTTATAAGGTTAAGTCCCGCTTACTATGACCTGGTCTGTGGATCTAGTTTGCCTCTTCAATTTTCAAAGCATCTCTAGTCCTCTCCATGTTTGAAACATTCAGCGTTAGCACGGTTATGCGACTGTCATGCAAAACTTCTCGCCAATTGATTTAATCAAGAGTTGTGAAGGATAGAATGTATCTTAACAAGTACAGTACCTAATAGCTACTGAAATAAAGCCAGAACAAAAAGAAAATTGATATGAAGGCCTTTTCAGCCTACGTTCACAGCATTAAGATCCCTCAACCTCAGTTTATTACTCCCAATTTTACGGTACTTGCGATTACTTAGGACTTGTGTGGGTGTCCATTCATTGTTACTTTATTAAAACATGCATAAATGCAATAGCAATCAGCCGTAGCGGACATATGCGCCTATGAACCTAATAACACACCCAATTAAGATGAAACTTCAATGACAAATCCTACGCAGACGATCGTAAAATGCCTCTTGAACCCGTCTACGTACGTGCATAGTTTCCATAGCGAAATAAAATGCATTGATATGCTTTTCTTACGTCCATAGTGTTACGTATGTACGTAGAATAAACGGATTGTTAAAATGCTATATAATTCTAACGAACGCACTAGCGATAGTGCGACTATGGTATATTACGTACTATTTGAGTTTATTTGACCGTAAAACTTGCAAGTGGGACACCGATTCCCGCGGTAAATTGGTTTAGCGCGGCGAGCTGATCAACTTTATTGTTCCCTGCACACTTCATATACGTGTACGTAACTACGTACATACATATGTGCACTGTGAATTAAAATACGTACTGGGATCGTGTTGGTAAGTCCAGTGATTTCATCTAGATTTTGTGTTTTTAAATAAAGTATTGTTTAGCTAGTTCACTTTGTACAAAGGGTTCATAACCTTTCGTGAACTCAGCACTGTGACCTATCCAGTACTACCGAATTAAACGTATTGATTAAAATGATTCTTGCAATCTGAAGTTTAGCAACACTATTCGGTCCTTTTCATCGATAGACTCTTTATCAGTGATCTCATACTTAGATAGCTTGCAATCTGAACTCTATATAACCCATTAGGAATGTTATTACATTATTTGTTTAAGATATTGTTAAAGAACTTATCTTTTAACACATTATTTACTTA